TACAGCAATATGTGACGATATCAGTGAATAGCGCATTGATGACGTTGGCTAACACAAGTGGAATGTATAGCGATTTAATCCTCACATGTTATCTGACAATATATTAACCTACAGAAATCCTATGGCAATCACTTGCCAATTCGTTTGTCAGCGGTATAGGCAATAGAAAATGAGAGATATGAATTCAACAAGCGAGCCAAGTTATTCACCAGCGGATGGAATGTACATAAATTTAATTGCTGCCAATGTTGACTAACCGAAATCCTACGACGATTAGATTTTCAATGATACGAGTGAATCCTATATTCGCATAGATAAAATTGGTCAAAAACCGACAGAATATATATCGAATATATATGTAATTTTTATATATGAAAAATACTGAATAATCAAAATGTTATTGCAAATTATTACATGTTTTTGCATTTTAATGATATGTTAATAATACATACAATACGCAAATGAAGTTAAGGACGGTAATGGTACATTTGATCCGCTAAATGGAATGCTTATGTTCTACTTCCTAATTTTACTTTATATAGCTGGAAATGTTAACTGACTATTATACTGCAAACTGCTTTCATAACTTTATTAGAGTTAATTAGAGTTTAACTAGAGTTTCTCGATTTGTCCTAAGATGTCAGTAGGTTAAATTATAGCTCACGGTTAATTATAACTGTTTATAAATATTTATAAAAATATAATCAAATCATAGTGATATATGTATAAATAATTTATCAAAGTCATAATAATATATGTATAAATAATTTAAATAACAATCGTACCGAGGAAACTTCAAGCATTCAAATATAGACTATTTAAAAAAAAATCTTAAATTACCTTTTGTATACAAATTGAAATAGTAAGGCATCAAAATTTTTGTCGCGTCTGATTAAAATAATAATTAATGATAATCTCTCAATTGTTGGAAGTGCATTCCTAGAATGTTCGATGTGAACTTTGCTATAATATTAGTTGTATTGGTCGTTTAACAGCGTCGAAAGAATTTTAATTAAAATTACTACGTATTTAATTAGCTGATCATGATTCGATCATAACGCAAATATATATTATAGATAAATTATGACTAAAATTTATTTTAATGAAAATAATGAATTCCATTTTAATAAAATTCTCTTATAAAATAACGAAATATATTTGTCAATAATTATAAGACTTGAAATTTTTAAGATGCAAATTTAATGAGTTTGTCATTCAGTAGGGAGGAATATCTTTAGCTTGAGTGACTTTGTGTCTTTGAGTCAAGAGCACTGCAATTAGACGGAAGGGTTTGATGTCGGACGATGTGCTTCAAACGCAATCATATATGATTGCCTTCTGTACTTCAGAAATATCATTATTATATAATTTCCGACAAAGCCTAAATACATAAATAAAAACTTGCCTCGATACTTGATGACTTTATTATTCGTATCGTAATTAAAGCAATGAAAAAAAGGAAAATGTGACAAACGCGAGTGAGAAAAATATATTTATTAATTAATATTTATATAAATTAATTAACATTTATAATTGCAATCGGTTTTGTATAAAGTGCGATTAATGTTTATATTTAAATTGAACATTTGGTATCGCACTATGTAACGATATTCTTCATCGCTTTGCGATATCTATATCAATAATTGCTGTATTTTCATCAAAACGGAATCAAGCTTTCTAAAAACTCAATTTTAATTTTTCAATTGTCCTAACTCACATGACAATAGGTACACGGTACTTGCTACGCTTGAATGTTGTGCTTTGTTTAAACATCTGCTCGCAAAATTGTTAATATCAAGCGACTAAGCTTAATTAACACATTTTCCCTATTCGTCGCGGAAGATTTCTGTAATTTCGTTGGAATGGGATTCCCTGCGAAGGGATTCTCCTCGGGTGTAATCGAGTGTGGCGCATCTCCATCTCCAGAACGGTCTCTAGAGAGATTATGAATTAGCGAGCATGTTTGCCGAGACAATCTCGGACTCGTAGACGTTAGCTGGCGATATCCCACGCGCGTCTCTCGGAATCTGGTTCATCGTGTTTAGCTAACGTCAAATGAGTTATTCCGCGCGAGAGCACAAAACGGATTCGCTGCTTACTGCGCGATATTACTGCATGCCGAGTATACATATAAATTCTCTATATCTTACATTAAACTTTCTGTCGGTGCTCGTGCAAGGATGCGTTGCAATCTCCCTCATGTAATGGTTAATTTGATCAACAATTAAACTAACTTGAGAACAATTTGTTTTTAACAATTTCTCTCTTTAAATCTTTAAATCGATTATTAAATATTAAAGATTTGTTTAAATAAAAGTTGATTTGTAAATTATCTGTATAATAATTTGTCACGCGTTCTATTCTGTTCCCTGTTCGTACAATTGTTCACTCGTAAAAGTCGTGTTTTTATTCGCGTTTAAACATCGAGCAAAGTTAAAAAAAACTCGAGAAGCCAAGATAGAAAAGAATCAAAGAAATAAACATAAAAAGACAGGACAATTTTAACAAGTAGTATAGTTTGTTGTCTACAAACGGGAATGTAGAAACTTGTTGTGCTGCAAAGAGGAAAATCGGGATCAGTATTGAAAACATCAATTTGATGGCTCGAAACACGATGCTATCGCTAGTATTGCAAGTCTGTATATTGTAATTGTATTTAGAATGGGACAGAATATCAAAGTTTCTCCTGGAACAACGTTCCCTAAGGCATTGTAGAAATAATTGCAGAACATGTAACAATACACAATATAAAGGACATTCAGCTATTATTTCAAATTTAACAATTAAATAGTAATACAAGATCTTTCGAAAAATATAAAATTCATATTTTCTTGATAAAAGTTTATGAAAAGTTGTGCTTGTGAAAATTTAATATTTTGTGAAACTTTTAATATTTAATTTTACAATTAAATTTTATATTAAATTAGTTTTTGTCAAAAGTTAGATCTTATTATATTAGATCTTATTATTTATAATTAAAATTTTGTGATTTTTTTTAGAGAGATGTTCATTCTCGCATATCAAATTTATCAAGAATTAATAAACTCTTCTCTTTGCTTTTACAAGCAAGAGCATTTATAAAAAGATTCGTAATTCCAAATAGCGGTTAATTTCGAGTCTAGTCAAATCCCTATATTAGTATCATGAATTCTGGAGATTCCTCTGCTGGTACAAAAGCAGCTGATTAATGTTGAACGCGCGTGTGATAAATGATCGACGTCTTGGCGGAGAGGAAGATGATGGAGAATCACTGGCCCGGTGCTCTCTCGTGGCTCATCGCTGTGGTTTGATCGAAGCGGTATTTCCTTCCCTCATACGCGCGGAAACTTCTTTTCGGAAGATAAACCGCTCCTTTTCAGCCTCCTCTCGCCTTCGGGACGCGGCCAAGGGGGCACGAAAGTTTCCCGGATGATTCACAAAAGATTTTTTGGCCGCGTCGCGACGTAGTTTGGACAAGGCCAACTGAGTACCGTTTGGAAAATTTATAAGAAACTAACGAAGAAGCTCTTCCAGCCGGAAACTCTCGAGATACCCAAAAAGCGATCTCATTCAATCGTAGAACAGAGTCTGAGTATAATTCAAAGAAGGAAAAGTTACGAGGCTTGATGAAAAGATAAAATTCTCTCTTTAAATACCTTGTAAATAATGGTGAAAGCAAGTTTGAAATAAATAAAAAAAAAACGTGAAAAGAATAATGTTAAATAATATATATGTAATAAATGATTTATTAAAATTAATTGTCAGTAAATTTATTGACATAAAAGTAATATTTAAATTTTCATTATGAATTAACAATTTATTTCAAAAATTATTTTAAAATAATTAATAATTTAGTTTTAAAAAAGCTGTTGAGTATTTTGAATTATTAATTCTTTCACTAATGTTTTTTTAGAGATGTTTAGAAATTCTGTTTGTTTAGCGGAATTTTTAATCAAAAATAGATTTTAATTTAATAAATGCTTACGAATCATGGAAATGAATTAATGTTATACATTATAAAATTATATGATTAAAATGTAATAAAAAAAATTTGTTGATTAAAAATTCAATGTTAATTAAAAAATATTTGAAAATAAAAGAATCTACATGATATAATTGTAATATATTTCATGTAACAAATTAATCTTACAGAAGCCTTTAACTTTAGTCTCACTCACTCATTGTCACTCACACATTGTTAATTACATTATTCTTGTTTTTCACTTGTTATAGGAATGATGAAAAACGCAACTTGCTAAAAAAATCTTATTGGCTGCGATGCATCACGCGTCAAATCGGTAGCGTGCCTGACACGTGTGCGAATCTTTATAATCCTGAAGCTTGCAGCGAAAGTAGGTCGAACTTTCACATGGGAGGAAATTAGGGACGAGTTTCCACGTGCATCATTCCTGTCGAGATAGAGAAGGGAAGGGGAATCGATCCTGGAATTATTAGGTAATTACCGTGGTGCAATGGGAATAATTCCAGAATCGATTATGCCGGAACAGGGATCGGGTGAGAGGCGAGAGACCGGCAAACAGACCGGTATTTTCAAACTCTTCCTTTGTAAGAACTAAGTGCCAACTCGTTTAATATTAAATTGCTCGCATATGTCTATCAAGTGAGATTATGCAGCTCGGAATTAGCAAACAGAGACCACTGAAACGGTCTTTTATTTTTTATAAGTTTTAAATAAAATATAATATATTTAAAAAAATGTTAATATTTGTATTATAATAAAGAAATAATTTTGCAAAATCATTAGATAGAAAAGTATCATTAGATAGAAAATCAGAAAAGTTACAAAAAGAGATTTTGCGGACGAGCAAGGTGATAGGCTTCTTTTACATTTTAAGATGATGAACGATTCTCGAAATAAGAAAAATCAAAGTAACGGGCTAAATTTTGCAGAAAATCGAGGACGCGCCATTAATTCCAACACCAAGGACAACAAGGAAGATACTGTATGAGATAATCCTACGATCTCACCAATCCTTAATGTCTCCATCGTGAGCATAGCTGCTCTACGCACAAAGGCGCGGTCCTACGGGACTCGAGATCGACGTGGTGGAAAACAGGGAAGCTGGTGAATAAGAATAAAAATAAGGACGATGGGGGTGCCGGATGTGGAGCAGGCCAAAAGGCGACTTCAGGACATATTGAGGCGGGCGCAGAAGCTGGAAATACCGACGCAGGAAGTGATCTCGACGAGGACGGCGCGTAAACTGCTCGCCAGGACGCGCAACGTTCTAGCGTGGACCATCTGGATCGGCGTATTTGTTATCCTGCTCAGCGGCGTCGTCTACGCGCGCTGGCCGACACGACAAGACGTGGAGACCGTCAGGACCGTGCTGAGGCGAACAGTCAGTATCGATGTATTTTCGTTTCTTTAATATTTCAAATCGTATCTCCCAAATCGTAACAAATATCCTTTCTAATCTATCCTTTCATCCTTAACAAACCAAAAGTTGGATTTTGAAAAACTTGTAGATTGGTAAGTGTCTTTCGAGAAACGAGAACATACAACGCGAATATTACCCGTAGGTATTTACATGCTCACGAAATTCTTTGCGACGGGGAAAAGGGCCGGATTTCAATTCCCATAAAATTTTCTCAAACGAACGCGAATTTCCGTTTTCTCGTTTCGTTTACACACGAAGGAAGAATAAAGAAACGCCTTCCTTCCTGAACGCTGCAAATTCTCCTCTCGCTTTCTTCCCCATTCCTTACATCTTTTGTTTTTTTATGATCTTGTCGCACATATCTTTACTATACGCAATATGTCAATGGCTTTGACTCTCTACCAAATATTCGTGACCCGGTTAACACACATGCGCGAACACACACACACGTATACATACATACATTACATTTTTCTTTATGACAAAAAATATTTTATCTCTATTGACATGTGAACTATTCAAGCATTCTTTTGCAAAATATGTAATTTTCAATTTTATCATTCAATGAATATCTATAATCTATAATCTATTTAAATTCTCACGTTTAAATAATTCATGTTTAATTGACAATTAAAATAATTTTATATTTTCTCTTAAATATCATAATAGCACGTATATTAATATTATTATAACATTTCTATAGAATATAAATTTAATAGAATATAACATTAATACACCGAATTAAAATTGTCGATTTTAATTAAATTTTTTAAACTGCTTTTATTCTATATAGTCACATCGACTATTGATATTAATTAATCAAAAACTTTTATTTAATAGAATCGTAAAATTGTATTGAAATTACTCAAAAACTTTTCTTGTGAATCTGAATGTAAGAAGACATTCTTTTATTATTTATTTTAGATATAAAATATAAGATATAAAATAAAAGCTTAATTCCCATGAGAGTAGATTAAACTTAGGTATCTCTTACAATTCTCTGAAATATAATAAACATTTCAAGGTTAAAAGTAAGAGTAAAGTTTCGATTTATGATAATATTGATACTAATAGCTGATATTAAATTGTCTTTCTCTGATTTAAATGACTAGAGAAATGTTGAAATGATAAAATAAAGATTTATTGACGTATTATTCACGTCTCTTAATATATCAACAAGATCACTCTCTTCTCATTTAAACACATATATAACATTGTTATCACGCTGCTTGAATTTCGCTGATTTCCAAAAGTTGGCCAATTAAGCTCGCGGTAGTCACGCTGGCATGATCGATAACGCCGATCACGTCGAAGAAGAGAGAACGTTAGGGGTACTAACGCTAAAATAAAATCGCTCGGCTAGTGATATTTATTAGACGGCACCAGCGACGGTTACGACCGATAAACGGCACAGACCGCGGCATGGAAATTTCACCTCGTAAATGGAAGTGTGCAAACAATAGTTATCGAATAAGCGTTTTCGCGGGATAAAAGCCGATCGGTCGCGGCGTTTTACACATCCTGCCGATTCGCGATTTTCTCTCCAGCTATGGCATCGATCGTTATTTGCAAGTGATCCTGAAAAATCCTGCTTGTCATTATAAAGATACAAGAAAGCAGAATATTCGGAAAGAAAAATTATTCAAAAATGTTCAAAAATTCAACAGTGTTAAAAAATGATTTGTAGCTTCTTAATATGCAATATGATACATGATTAGTAACGTTATAATATAATGCAAATTTATAATATCAATAGAAATGTTCCAGGAAGCTTCAAACGATGTTTAATGATTCATTAAATATTTTATCCGGATGTGCATTTCGTTTGAAATCAACAAATAAATAATTGGGTTTTTAGATATTATGTTTCTTTCGTATTTAATTAATGACTCTCGATCGAGAAGTGGTTTCGTCGCTCGTTTCGATCGTATTTCCCGATAAATTTCAGTATTATCGATGCTCGATCGCGCAAAATCGCATCAAAGGAATATCAGCGTTAAAAGGACTAAAAAAAAATCGAGACCAGTGAAACAGCCTAAATGAAAGAGATTGCAAGTTCAAAGAGAGCTATCGCATGTAACCTATTGAAAATGCATTCACACATATTCGCGCGCACACACGTACACACATACACGCACACCCACAACATACATCTACGCGTAACGATTGATCAGTAAAATCATTTTGGCGATCTCGTCGAATTCGAGTTGCGTTTCATTGCTGAATATGTTACGCCGATATTTTCGAAATGGCCTCTCTCGGAATTATGCGCCATGACATATATAACGCGATTTTCAAGGAACTTGCGAAATTCGACACATAGTGCCTTTTGCATTGACACAAATTAATGGACGCATAAATATGGATGTTCAAAAAATATAGACATATAAATGGATAGATACAGAGTGAGTCAAGAATTAAAAGGACTTTTTTTCTGCTAAAAGAGTTCAAAGTAGTACTCGAACCAATATATCACCGAATGGAGATCGTGACGTTTTATGGATATATCCCTACCGCAAACTCAACAAAAATTATTGATTGAAAAAACTAAATATTTTGATTTTTAGATAAAAAACAAAAAAGCATAACGCGCGCTATATATGCCTTTCTGTTTGAAACAAACGCCGTCAGTGTTGTTCGTAATTATTTCAAAACGACCGCGTGCGCGCGCGAACTGAATATGTTCCAATTTACGCTTCGATATCTTCGTTTTGGTTTTCCGTCGCGTGTTTGTTCCTGATTGTCGCTGCGTTTGTATTTCTTCCTTTTTCCCGAGCCAAATGCGTTCCGCCAGCGGTAGCTCTCTCGTGATTGTTAATTAAATGAAAGGTCGAAGTTAGAGATCGAGTGTGTATTAATGGAACGGAAAAAAATAGTATTAAAAATATAATAGCAATATAATAGCAATATATAGGAATACATAATAGGATATTTCATAAGAATCGAAAAATTTTTCATTGTTGAAAAAAATTTATATCGATTTAGCTAAATAATTTATAATTAAATGTATTCAAAATAATTCTGTCATCTTCATACAACAGTTTTTTACTTTATATTGTCATTTCATTTTATTTATTAAAAGTTTTAATTTCATTTCAAATAATTTAACAACTTGGCAAAATTATATTTTTCCTTATATAAATTAGGATTATATATTTTTCTTGTTATATTAATTGAGATATATTAATTAGATAATTATAATTTGGAAGTTTATTATACTGAGCAAAAAAAATCAATATATT